AGATGTTTCTTTACTTAGGCAGACTAGCAGCATAAGAGATCAGACACGCTACTGTGGCAACTTCCAAAAGGGGCAGTGCAGGCATGGAAGTGATCATCAAAATCCAGGCTGGTGAGACAGAGTACCATATTTGCCACCCGTGTTTGTTCATACGCAAAGTCAAGGCCACACATTCAGCCAAGGACTGCCCACACAAACCAAAGGAACGTACCAATTTACAAAATAGTAGTGATAGTTACATTAATCATGATCCCAGCAGTACCATCACGATACCTCAATTGTATTACCCCCTCATAAACATTTTGTTTCCGCTTTGGACTTGGTCTCCCAGGACCACACAAATACATCACTTCACAATCGTGTCCCGCGTTGGACTCGGTCTCCCAGGACCACACAAATACATCACTTCATAATCGTGTCCCCACGTTGGACAGCACCACCGAAGAGCAAACCATAGTTACCTTGTATGGAATGTGTATCCCCTCCATGGATACCAACACCATTGTCTCACATAGCAGTAAAACACCAGACCAATCTATTGCGCACTACAGTCAAAATACCCACAAGGACACAGGTGATGATATTGTAGGGTCTAACAAGGTTACGCCAAATCATTTTAACTACCCATTATACACTGTACAAAACATTACAAAAAAACACCTTTATTTAACCAGCACTAGCATTATCAAACCACCAACTATCAGCTGGCCACCAACATCCACATTGAATTTTGACTTCTTGTGCAAAGCACACACAGTTATCGTGCAATCAGACAAGCCAAACTACCAGGATCAGCGAATTACTGTGCCATCAACATTCAATGTAGAACTGTGGCTACATCGCTACACGATTATTTTGATAACATTATCGTAGACTTTCTGCAATTGGTTGCCAAATCAACTACACAGATAGCGTGTTACCCCACACAGTCAAGCACAATCACAATTCTGCAGTCAATTTTGCATCTCATACTGATTCATATATTGCCAAGGAAACCATGCTTGGAGCGCTCGCCGGTCCATTTTCAGGCAATCCACTATCACTACCATTGGCATTCTCTCCACTATCATCTGTACCAAAAAAAGGGTTAACTGAAAGGCGAACTGTTATGGATCTATCTTTTCCAGCAGGAACATCAGTCAACGATGGCATACCAAATGACAATTTTCTTGGTGATCCATATAAACTTCGGTACCCATCAATTGACAACCTGATTCAAATTATAAATCATTATGGTCAAGGTTGCTTATTGTTCAAAGCTGACATACGGCGTTGCTACAGATGGATTCCAGTCGATACCCATGACTATCATCTGTTAGGTTTGGCATGGAGGGGATTACAGTTCTTTGACACCAAGCTTCCATTTGGTCTTCGGTCATCCGCCATGGCATGTCAAAGAACAACAAACGGGCTCATGCACATTTATCGTAAATTGGGATACCAGGCCACTAACTACATTGATGACTTTGTGGGAGGAGAGGCTCCAGCGAATGCACAGAAAGCCTATGACTCACTCAAAGACACAATTACTAAGTACGGGTTTGAGCTGTCAATTGAAAAATGCTGCCCACCAACCACCTGTCTAACATTTTTGGGAAAACAATTCAACACAATAAAGATGCAAGTTAGTATCCCAGAGCAAAAACTCAGTGAAGCAGAAGAGCTATTATCAAAGTTTTCACTTAGGAAAAAATGCACCAAACGAGAGCTGCAATCACTCATTGGCAAGCTGGCATTTATAGCAGACTGTATACATCCTGCTCGACTATTCCTGTGTCGCATGTTGGCACTCCTTCGTAAGACCAACAATAAACATCATCACATTAAACTCAGTGCCTACTTCCGTAGGGATGTATCATGGTGGATCGCATTCATGCGCTGTTACAACGG